AGGCGTATTCCCTGGTATTTGATGTTGGTAGGGATATGTGCTAGCTCCCATCGCTTGCCAAGCTGCTGCATAGTTCCAGATGTTCGCCACTTGTTGTTGCTGCCACAACAGCGAGTTGTTGTTCTGGATAGTGTTTTGCCTTCCGCCGCATTGGGCGTACAGCGCATCTTGATATGCTTGCCCCTGTCCTTGCATCATTTGTTGCTGTTGCATTGTTGACCGGACCTGGCCGCTGTTCTGCTGCTGCGAGGATCCTTGACGATATGGCTGTTGCTCATGTGTGCTTGTTCTTGGGCGTGCTCTTGACGCTCCACTTGCCGAGGACTCCGCTCTCGCGTTACCCATCGTTAGAAGGTCCCGTGCCGCATCTTGGATCTCCCTTTCGTACGGAAGTTCTCTTCGATTATTGTTCCTCCCTCTCGATCCCGCTTGCACCGTTCCTTCCTGTTCCTGCAGATCTTCTTCACCGATCCTTGGACATCCGTTTGTAGCGGTATGGAACCACCATCGACATTTCTCGCACCATGGTGTGTTTTTACAGACCAGTTTGATCTTGATAATTCCCCCATCGTCGAGCTTCATTGGGAGTTTGGGTTCAAATCTCGCTTCCGCCTCTTTTATCAAATCGAACTTCATGTTCATAAGCTTTGGGCGAGTCTTATCCGGCTCCGCTGGATGCGCCTTGATGACAGTCCCCACCCCTTTTCCTATCATGTCCTCGAGATGGAACATGGCCCTGACTGGCACTCTCAAGGCCATCACCCAAAAGCGAGTATCATCTTCTAACCTCCTTCGTTCCTCCAATTCTTTCCTGGTCATCCACAGCTTGAAAAGCATCAAATACTCTACTCTCCTTATCACCACCTTATCCTCTGCCTTAGCTATCATCCATTGTGCAACCTCCCGTGACATAGCTATGTACAACATCACGTTGGGCCCCTCCCCGTGAATTCTCCCCCTCCGTTGTTCCCGATTGAAGGTTTGATTCCGCACCCAGCCGTTTTCATAAGCCCTCACCAAATTCTCTCTAACTTTTAATGGCAAGTCTCGAGCAGCGCCTTGAAAAATTATCGTGACGACTCTTTCCTTCAGCCATTTGGTTGTCATCTCGCCGAGAGTTCGGTCCACCCTGAACTCTCTTTCCCCGTTTTCAACCAGGAATTCCCCGTGGTTGAGTTTCTCGGGATAGACTCCGTCCTCAAAGCACTTGCTCATTAGTAGCCTGATCCTTGCATCTTCAGAGATTGGTACTTCTCTCTCTCTCGGCGGAGATCTTCCGACTTGTCTTTCCCTTTCCTCATTCTGATGTGTCGACGCCATCCTCCCCTACTATTCTTCGGTGCTTTGCTTACTCCTAGAACTTCGAACCCGTGCTGAGCATTCACTTCGCGTTTTCGTGTCAAAGGTGGGCGCCTGTGCGGCGCACACCAATTCACAGCTTTCGCAACCTTCGCTTGTTCTCTCATCTCACCATCGCCAATCTTCCATTAGGGTCAGTCGAAGGCTGAGATGTCCCCTGCCGCCAGGGCAGTTTCTCGGAGTTGCCGAGAAGGACCTTTGCCGTATCGCCCTCGGGGCTCTCGTGTTGAGAGGCCCTGGGCTGACCGAACCGGCGTCCGCCGGTAGCGCCAACTTAGAGCGCTAATCTTGCGCCAACCGCCCCGTCCCCGTCCTCGTCCGGTTATCAATCTTCTCTGTTTGGTTCCAATATATATTTTTTTTAAGGTTTGATTTGCTGAGTTTGATTTGCTTTTGTTTGTTTTCTATATTTCAAATTTTACTTTTTCAAATTTTGGTTCTCTATCTGTATGTGCTGATGTGTGTGATAAGTACCCTCTTCACCCCGAATAGAACAGCTGATTGAGGGTAGGGCATAGACATGGGTAGCTAGTGAGAGACACATTGAGAGAAGAAAGATAATAGGGTAGGAAAAATACAATTGTCCCCCATATGAGGAGAAGGCAGCTGTATTTTTTGCTATTAAAAAAAAAGAAAGAACAGCTGCCTGGTCATTTATTAAAAAAAAAAAAGAACAGAGCGCCTGG